ATGATGTGATTGCTATTTCGCGCTAAAGAAAACATCAGCTCTTTATAGAATAGATCTTAACAAAATCAAAACAATTGGTTTTTTTCAAATTTTTTAAAGATGAAACGATGACTTTGTTGGGATCAATTTTATACAGAGCTAATGTTTTCTTTAGCACGAATTAGCAATTAACTTGGAATACCACTTATTAATTTAGCACCATTAGCAAGCTTGCGCACAACATCATCATTACGGAATTCTGTAAGTTAGTATTAATTTACATTTACCTAATTTACGACGCTCAGATAAGGATTGGATGTTACAGGCTTCTGAAAAGCTCTTAATGGTCTTTGCATGACCGATTATGGAATCATTCTCAGTTGAAGCTGATGCAGATTCAGCTTTAATTATGAATGGAAGGATCTCAAGGTAAGTCAGTCTTTAGCAGCATATATATTAAAAATGTCATTGGTTACCTTTAGCTCAGGATGACCCAAAGACGACGTACTGGATCGTCGCGATGATATAGATCGGTTTCGTATTAAAGATTTTCCACCTTCTGAAAGTTTCCTTATTGGAAGATATTGAGTCAACTAGTTTACTGTGTGAGAAGGCAGATGTTAACTGAACCATAAATTTAGGCTCATAACTAACCAACGGTGCAGTTTAAATCTTACAAAAAATTAAAAGCTTACTTTCATCTATATCAGCAAAGACTTGAGCGTTCACAAGTTCATGGTAGAGTCCTTTTCGAGAGATCAACTCATCGTGAGTACCAACCTCGACGACCTAAATGAAAATATTGGAATCTTCTGAATTATAGGATGTTTTGCTGTGCACATACCTCTCCATCTTTCATGGCGATGATTTTATCTGCATTACGGATAGTAGAAAGCCGATGTGCAATCACAATAGTTGTTCGACCTTTAGATGCCTAGAATGATCGCATGAGCTATAAGGTATCGAGAAAATGATGTTTTTCTCTTAAAAAATACAGTAAGCATTGACAACTCACGTTCTCTAGAGCCTGTTGCACAACATGTTCACTTTCTGCATCCAATGCACTGGTAGCCTCGTCCAGAAGAAGAATCTTGGGATCTCTGACCAAGGCACGAGCAATGGCAATTCGTTGTTTCTGTCCACCAGACATTTGCGCACCGCGATCTCCGACATTAGTTTTGATACCCTGGATATTCATGAACTGATGAACTGGCTCGAATAGCAGCTACAGACGAAGTTGAACACTCACATCAGGAAATCCTTGCACAAAATTATAGGCGTTCGCTTTGCGTAAAGCTGCTGTAATTTCAGCTTCTGTGACATTTTCCCTTCCGTAACGAATATTCTAAAA